GGATATGCGGGGGCGGGTTGTGTATGTGGGGGGTGGAGGTGTGTGTGTGTGTGTGTGTGTTTTACGCCATGCACATCAGCACCAGACTGTCCGCCGTCCCCAGTGAGGGAAGAAGGAAGGGGTAGGGGCAGGGAGGGGAAGAGGGAAGGGGATGGGCAGGGAGGGCTGCATTTCCCTCAGAAAACACCCCCACTTCCGCTAGATGGATGAAGAGTTTACAGATAACAACTGATCGGGCCTAGAAGCAGTAAACTCCGTTCAACGGCAAGTATCTCACAGAAGTCAAGTTCGAAGTGTGGTTTTAAACATTTATTTTTAAGATCCACCACGTAAGATAATTTTCGTTAAAAGACTTACAAACTGACGTGTAATCTGTTTGGGTTTTGTTCAGATGTCTGTTTCAAAACCACATCCAAGGGGCGCCTGGGTGGCTCAGTCGGTTGAGCATCTGACTCTTGGTTTTGGCTCAGGTCATGATCTCACAGTTTGTGGGTTTGAGCCTCTCTCTCTCTCTCTCTCTCTCTTTTTTTCCTTTGCTTGTTTGTTTTGTTTCTTATATTCCACATATGCGTGAGATCATATGGTTTTGTCTTTCTCTGATTGACTTATTTGCTTAGCATTATACTTTCCACATCCATCCATGTTGTGGCAAATGGCAATGTTTTGTTGTTTTTTTTTTTTAATTTTTTTATTTTGGGGAGAGCACATGTGGTGGAGGGGCAGAGAGAGGGGGACAGAGGATCTGAAGCAGGCCCTGTGCTGACGGGCTGACAACAGTGAGCCCGATGTGGGGCTCGAACTCCCGAACCACGAGATCATGACCTGAGCCGAAGTCAAACACTCAACCGACTGAACCATCCAGGTGCCCCAAGATTTCATTCTTCTCTTTATGGCTGAATAATGTTCCATTGGATATATATATACATCCCTTCCTCTGTGGGTAGACACGGGCTGCTTCCATAATTTGGCTATTATAAATAACGCTGCGATAAACATCGGGGTGCACGTATCCCTTTGAATTCGTGTTTTTATGTTTTGGGGGTAAATACCCACTAGTATGATTACTGGATCGTAGGGTAGATCTATTTTTCATTTTTTAAGGACCCTCCACACTGTTTTCCAGAGCGGCCGCACCAGTTTGCATTCCCACCAACAGGGCAAGAGGGTTCCCCTTTCTCCGCATCCTCGCCAACACCCGTTGTTGCTCGTGTTGTTGATTTTAGCCATTCTGACAGGTGTGACGTGTCATCTCGTTGTGGTTTTGATTTGCATTTCCCTGTTGCTGAGTGACACCGAGCATTTTCATGTGTCTGTTGGCCATCCGGATGTCTTCTTTGGAGAAGCGTCTGTCCACGTCTTCTGCCCATTTTTTAATTGGATTATTTGGTTTTTGGGTGTAGAGTTGTATCAGTTCCTTATATATTTTGCATACTTAACGCTTTATTGGATCTGTCATTTGCAAATATCTTCTCCCATTCAGTAGTTTGCGTTTTAGTTCTGTCAGTGGTTTCCTTCACTGTGTAGAAGCTTTTTGTTTTGATGTCATCCCAACGGTTTACTTTTGCTTAAAAGCAAGATTTCCCTCGCCTCGGAGGACATTTCTAGAGAAATGTTGCTACAGCCGATGTCGGAGAAATTACTACCTTGCTCTCTCCAAGGATTTTTATGGTTTCAGGTCTCACATTTAGGTCTTTAATCCATTTTGAGTTTATTTTTGTGTATGGTGCGAGGCGACCCGGTTTCATTCTTTTGCATGTGGCTGTCCAGTTTTCCCATCACCATTTGTTGGAGAGACTGTCTTTTTCCCCTCATATATTCTTTCCTCCTTTGTCGAAGATTAATTGACCATATAATTGGGGGTTTAGTTCTGGGTTTTCTGTTCTAGTCCATTGATCTATGCGTCTGTTTTAATGCCAGTCCCATACTGTTTTAATTACTATCGCTTTGGTTTTTTTTGTTGTTGTTTTTTGTTTTGTTTTGTTTTGTTTTTTTAATTTTTTTTTAATGTTTATTTATTTTTGAGACAGAGAGAGACAGAGCATGAATGGGGGAGGGGCAGAGAGAGAGGGAGACACAGAATGGGAAGCAGGCTCCAGGCTCTGAGCTGTCAGCACAGAGCCCGATGCGGGGCTCGAACTCACGGACCGTGAGATCATGACCTGAACCGAAGTCGGACGCTCAACCGACTGAGCCACCCAGGTGCCCCTAATTACTACCGCTTTGTAATAGAACTTGAAATCTGGAATTGGGATGCCTCCAGCTTTGTTTTTGTTTTTCAAGATTGCTGTCTGAGGTCTTTGGTGGTTCCATACAAATCTTAGGATTGGTTGTTCTAGTTCAGTGAAACATGCTCTTGGTATTTTGGTAGGGATCGCATTGAGCCTGTAGATGGCTGTGGGGAGTATGGCTATTTTAACAGTATTTGTTCTTCCAGCCCATAAGCATGGAATGTCTTTCCATTTCTTTGTGTTGTCCTGAATTTCTTTCACTGGTACTTTTTTTTTTTTTTTTTTTTTTTTTTTTTTTTTTTTACATTTTATTTATTTTTGAGAAACAGAGTGAGACAAAGCGTGAGCAGGGGAGGGGCAGAGAGGGAAGGAGACACAGAATCTGAAGCAGGCTCCAGGCTCTGAGCTGTCAGCACAGAGCCCGACGCGGGGCTTGAACCCACAAACTGTGAGATCATGACCTGAGCCCAAGTCGGAGGCTCAACCGAGCCACCCAGGCGCCCCTTTTCACTGGTACTTTTAATTTTCAGAGTACAGGTCTTTTCACTTCTATAGTTAAGTTTATTCCTAGACATTTTATTGTTTTTGGTGCAGTTGTAAGTGAAATTGTTTTCTTAATTTCACTTTCTGCTGCTCCCTTATTAGTGCACAGAAATGCAACAGGTTTCTGTATATTGGTTTTGTATCCCACAACCTTAGTGAATTCCTTCATCCATTCTGGTAGTTTTTTGGTGGAGTCTGTGGGATTTTCTATATATAGTATCATGTCATCTGCAAATAGCGAGAGCTTTATTTCTTCCTTACCAATTTGGATGCCTTTTATTTCTTTACATTATCAAATTGCTTACATTATCAAATTCTTTACATTATCAAAAAGGGAGTCCTTTTTAATTTAGAGATAATATTACTTCTCATGAAACACCACAGGGTCTGGATTGATTTTGCCACGATTAGGGAAATTTTGAGAGTAAATGAATGTTCCCATCTGGACTTGATTCTTCCATTTGTACTTCATATATTTGAATTCTAAAAATGGTGTCATCGAGTTCATTGTTTTAGGGGGAAAATCCCTCTCATCACTATTTTTTTTTTAAGTTTATTTATTTTATTTTGAGAGTGTGTGTGCATGAGCGGGGGAAGGGCAGAAAGAGACGGAGTTAGAGAATCCCAAGCAGGCTCCCTGCTGTCAGCTCGAAGCCCAACGCGGGGCTCAATCTCATGAACTGTGAGATCACGACCTGAGCTGAAATCGGGCCCCTTAACCAGCTGAGCCACCCAGGCACCCCTCATCACTGTTTATAACAGAGAAAAAGCAGGTGTGGCGTAAGTACCCAGCAGTTAGCGAAAGGGTCGTGGCCATCCGCTGGGGAAAATGCTCATGGGCATTCCGTGAAAGTCAGCTGTCTGGCTCAAGTTAGAAACAAAACAGAGGGACGCTCCAGTCATAATTTACAGTAGGATCTCAAATTTGTTTAGAAAGAAATTTCATATAGAAAGAGAAAACTTAGGCGAAAATACAAAAAGAAAGAAAAAAGAAGCCATAGCCACCAGTATTAGAATTAACGTGATTTTACTTTTCTTCCTTTTGCCTTTACCGTTTCCCCGCCCCACTCCACCGGAAGCATAGATTCGTTAAGTATTAGAGGAAAAAGTCAGGTCCTGATGGGTTCTGTGTGAAGGGACCACTTCTCTGCAGGGTGTTTACCCTGAAAGCTTTATTGGGAATTATGTGGCGATGCCGTCAGGATAATTAGACTCGGAGGAGGTGCTTTCCTGTCCAGGGACGATGTCCCTAACCCCCCCAGCCAGCAGGGGTAGATGGATTTTCCCTTAGACGGGTAGTTGTGTGCGGATTCACTCACACCTGAAGTCAGGGGGGGCCTCAGTGGGTTTAAACGTGATATTTACATTGCCCAATTTCAGAGCCATCATAAGGCCTCCGGTACCTCCCATTCTGAGCCATACGGTGTGGGGCTTTTTCCCCTGAAAACCCCACGAAAGGAAACCCTTAAATTACCTTAAATGCTTTTTATTGTGGTGAAACTCACATCACATAAAATTAACCATTTTAGAATAAATGATTCCGTAGCATGTAGTACATTCATGGTGTTGGGCAACCACCACCTCTATCGCGTTCCAGAACATTTCTGTCTCCCCAGAAGGAAACCCTGTACCCATTACCATCCCTCCCCATTCTCTCCTCCCCCTCATCACGGTCATCCACCAATCTACTCTCTGTCTCTGGATTTACTTGTTCTACATAGTTCCTACCGGTGGGATTGCACAATGTGTGACCCTTGGGGTCTGGCTTCTTTCACTTAAAATCTCCAAAGTTCAGGGCTGGGTGGCTCCGTTGGTTGAGCATCCAACTTCAGCTCATGTCATGATCTCATGGTCCATGGGTTCAAGCCCCGCATCAGGCTCTGTGCTGACAGCTCAGAGCCCGGAGCCTGCTTCAGATTCTGTGTCTCCCTTCTCTCTGCCCCTCCCCCGTTCATGCTCTGCCTCTCTCTGTCTCAAAAATAAATAAACATTAAAAGCAAATTTTTTTTCAATCATGGTTTATCTGTTCTTCCATTGATGGATGTTTGGGTTGTTGCCTCACAGTACTTCGAAGAATATAACAGGGATGCCTGGGTGGCTCAGTGGTTAAGCATCTGGCTCTTGATTTCAACTCAGGTCATGATCTCATGGCTCATGAGTTCAAGCCCCATATTGGGCTCCGTGCTGTCAGTAT